CATGCAAGTGTTCCTTTCTTCTCTATGAGCAGGAATAGATGCGCTATGGCAAGGCAGACGCAGGAATAGGGTCCAGCAACTCTCTGCACAGAGGATTTTCCCCTCAGGAGCATCTTGGAAAACATAGAAGGAGCAGCCAAAGAAGTGTTTAAATCTACTACCATCCCTTCACCCGCATCTCGGGCAAGGAAACACATGAAGCAATGTTTTCTGGGCTAATAGAGAGTTACAGCTCTAACATCTCTGCCTCCCTATCCCTTGGTTACTGCACCTCTGTGAGAAACAACTCACCTTCTTCTTAGCTGTCTTCCGGAATCGTCTCTTCCGTACATTTTTCAGGGGAAGAGTGACTGTGACAGAGGAAACAGATTGCATGTGTCAGGCAGATGGCCTAATGAGAGAGCTGTGTGCCAACAGGGAGAAGATCCCTTCAGGAACAGAGAGAGCACTGAGAAGAGCAGCACAGCCGGGACACGGCAACGGTGAGTGCCCTCAAGAGCTGACACTGGGGTGGTGAGATGGAGCTGTTTGGCACAGCCTCTACTCACTGCCATGGTTCCAGATGAATTTCTTCTCTCTGTCCTTGTCCTTCTTCTTGTTTGCCTTAGGGTCAGTGCTCACAGTTTGCTCTTCCAAAGGGGGGTAGAGATCACCATCCACAGTGCAAACAAGCATCTGGAATCCCCACATCAACACAAAAGGTGCTTATTGTAACGCAAGGACAAAAGGATGTGAAAGCTTTTGTGGAAAATGAACAGTGACTGCATGTGGTGAGCCAAAAGGATTCCCAGGCATGGGGTACGAGAAACATGGTATTCCACACCCAGCTCACTTCATATCCAAACACAGCAGCAGTTCAGCTGTTACAAGGACAATCACGCTTCATGCTTTGCAAATGGGATTTCTAAATGAATTTAAAACTGCTAATTTTGTGAGAATACAGAAATTGGCAATGTTACAACGGATGCCCAGCTGCCAAAGTGTACAGGGGTTTTCCTCGAGAGGGGAGCAAGGAATTAAGCTGTTGGGGCAGACAAGGACAGCCTATACCTGGCAAATATCTGCTGTCTTATAGAAGGTTTTCTTGTCAATGGTTTTTAAGCTCTCGATGATGCAGGGCAGATCCACCAGCTTGGCTGCCAGCGGCACCCGGTCCACACGGACAATCCCATGGCGCCCATCCGCTGTGGAAAGCCACGGAACAGGTTAGTGCTGTCACTGAACAGTTAAACTCAGCAACACGTTCCTGGGCAGCAAAAACATCAAGGGAAGACGCATGGAAGTCGCACGGCTCCACTTGTGGACTGTCAGAGGAGTTAGAAGATGCCCTGATCCTGCCCACTCACCGTGTAGCTCAATGGTGAGCCTGTCCTTCAAGTTGACATTCCCAGACTGTACCGCTCGCCGCACAGTGGAGGCATATTCCTGGGAAGGTTGGAAAGGCTTATGTCAGGACTGGATGGGCTTCCTCCGAGAATCACCAAAGGTTTCTGCCCAGCTTCAAGCACCCCTGCCATCCCAACACAGCCAAACTGCTGCAATGAAAACTGCACCCTCCTCCCAGTGCCACACGTTAGCCCTGTGGCTCTGCTATTCCCAGTGCCCTTCACACGCCACGACACGCCACAGCTTTGACAGCAGTGCGAAGCCCCCGACAGCGATTCCCTGCCGGGGGACACAGCTCTGCGGGAAGTTGCAGCTCCCATCCCCGAACTCTCGTGGTCTCGGCGTGACACAGTGCCACCTTTAAGCATCTAACAGCACCAAACGCACCGGCAGCCACAGCAACCGCACACCCAGCACCTGGGGTTCCTCAGCTTTCCACCCTCATCCCCTACGTTGTCTTCCCAGCCTCCTGCTCTGTGTCACAGGAGCACCTCTTAGGAGGAGGGCACGGAAGATCAGCCCAAAGCAGTGGGAGCGGGCTGCCCGAGGCCAAAGG